AAGCTTAAATTTCAAAACTTACATTTTAACTACTAATTTTATCTACTGTTCCTTTTTTTCTTTTTCATTTTAAATCATGCTTTTTAGTTGTTTCTGTTTTTTAATGTCTCTGTAAAGCACTTTGAATCACCTTGCTATTGAATTGTGCCATATAAATAAACTTGCCTTGCCTATTCTCTCAGCTGCCGTTTAACGATTCAGACATGAGTCTATGTCCATATTTGATCTGAGCTCAGCAGGTAGAGTGCAGGTGTCCTGTTTTATAATCATATAATTACGCTTATAAATTAATAACACTGTGTCTAAAAATCTATATTATTATTTGTTATTTAATATTTATGATTTAATACCATGTCTTTGCATGGAAGTAGAAAACTTTAGACCCTCCTACTGTTTGCACACAAACCTCTGACGGATCATCCAGGAACTGTGACGTTGTATTCTGGAGAACTGATTGGTCAGTGGGCGGTGCTTCATACCTGCTGACGTCTAATCTGGATCTAAACGGGCTCCAGAGCGAGTTAAATTCACAGCATAAGTTACTGTGTCGATTTACCCCAGTAAGAATGAACCACCTTCTAACCCAAAATAGTTCAGGCCTCTGCAGTTATATCCAGTCACTATTTAGGCTACCAGGTGAGTCCAGTGGATCCCCACAGCTGTGGAAACAAACATCTGGAGACAGTTTCTGCTGACTTTTGTTCCTGCAGTCGAAACGCAGCTAACACGATTTATTTACCTTCACAAAGGGAACTCTGTTCTTATCTTCATGAACAGCCAGGTTGGTCTTTGACACTGAAACATGAAAGCATCATCATAGCAGTTAGCATTAGCTTGATTGTATTTACACTCTATTTCTACTCTACTATTCTATTCAACTCTATATGAGCATAGTAAAGGTTCAGGGTTGGTCTCACCATCCAGCAGGTCTCTGATTTTATCCAGATAGATTTCAAAATAAGACACCTGCAGATACACAGCCAGTGTTTATGTTACGTTAAACATGTTCAGTCTTCTAAAAAGAAAAACTGTGATTCAGAATAAAAACACTTTGGAGATTAAATGATGCTACACTGATCAAATGATGATATTTCTTTGAATTAAGATGAAGAATCATTTTTTACAGTTAGATTTTCCTAAGATCTGACAACAGAAACACAAAAACAACATAAAAATATTTGTTTCACAAGCAGAATCACCTTGATGTGGAACTCCAGGTTCTCATCCATGGAGTAGATGTGGTCGAAGATGTCTCTGGAAATACGAGGGATGATGCCCATCTGATGAGGGTCATGAAGGGTCCCCTGAAACATTACGAATCATTTAATTAATCATTCAAATAACACCAAAACAAAGACCTGAAAATAAACTACAAAACAACAGACCAACCTCCATTGTGTGAGTCTTTCCTGAGGAGGTCTGACCATAAGCAAAGATGGTGCCGTTATATCCTCCCAACACATCTGAGGCACAAACAAAGAAACAAACGCCGTTTACAGCCGTCACTTCCTCTCAGTCACTTTCCTTCTTTAATGGAATATGTTGCACTGACCTCTGACGATCTGCTTGGCACAAGTGTCGTACACCTGAACCTGTTCAGTGGTTGGGGGGAAGACTCGGTCGAACACATATGGCTTCCCCTGAAACACAGGAAACACACTGTAAAAACTAAAAGCCTCTGTTTGAAAAAAAAAGATTTATGCTGTCAGCAGACAGTCTCCTCCTGCTATGAAGAGGTCATATAAAAAACACCCTGCTCACTGACACTGAGTGTTATGGTGTGATGTTTCAGTCTCTCAGTAACATCTTAACACATCGAAGCCAAAATTATCAATGTAAGTCAGTGAGGACTGTTAGATTTCTGTTTTAACAAACAAAACTAGGAGTAAAAAGAGATGATTCTTATGTATCTGCATTTATACAACATTCACACTCTGATGGAGGTCTCACAGAGCAGCTCGGGGTAAGTATGTCGCCAAAGGGTATTTGGCATGGCGACTGGAGCAACCAGGGATCAAAACCACCAACCGTCCGCTGGTCGTTGAGGTCACAGTGAGCTTCCCTGATCACCTCCTGGTTGGACTCCTGCTGAGCTGTCCTGATTGGTCAGTCCACACAGGCACCTCCATTGACCGTCCCACATCTACAAACCCCTCCATGCTTTCCTCGTCAGCACGAGGTGGCTGGAGATGGCACCTGTCAGACCATCTCCAGCCCCACAGCAGACCTTCAGCTCTGCTGCCTCCTCTGTGTGAGTGCTCCCCTCTGAGATCTTCAACGTCCATCAGTTAATGTTCAGATCTTTGAACTTTGACCTTCTTTATGTAATGCGGCCTTGGCTCCCTTGAAAGCTGAACATAAATCTAATTATTATTTTTTTACAAAGTGTCTCCACTGTGATTTTAAATAAAGTTTGATAGAATTTATAGTTTAATGGGACTCCTGATGGTCACATGACTGTCTCAGTTTCTCCTTCAGAAAAACAAACAGACAATACCGAGACAATAACAGATGTTGGAGCTATTTGTTCTTTATTTTTATTATTTTTGAAATTTGTTGTTAATGTTTGTTGTTAGTTTACTTATATTTTGGGGTTTATTTACAAGTTTAATTGTAGGTTAATATTTGTTTCAATGTTTTGTTTGTTTGATGTTACCTTGTTAAATTAGTCAGTAAGAGCTGTAGGGCCATTTTGTTTCTATAAATAAAGAGACTGGTATAGGACCAGCATGCACTGGGGTGGGCCTATGGGTGTTTGTTTTTTTTTACCAGAGCAGGAGAAGCAGCAGGAAGAAACAAAAAATGGATCTTGTTATTGCCAAACTGGATGAAAAAACACAACTTACAACTTTGGACAGTGGACTTCTTTTGCCTGCGTACGAAATATTATCTCAGTGCAGCAGTGGCTTGTGGATTTTTAATTATGGGATGTTTGGTTTGTCAAACAGGAGGAATTACCACTACAACAGATTTACCTTTATATAAAGAGTAGGGTCAAGGGTCAGAGGCTCAGGGGAGGTAATGAGAACAAAAACAAGACGTTCAGTCTGAGTTTAATGACGGCTCGTTAAATCACCACAAACCTTTCACTGTTGTCTCGTTAGTTTAAATAAAGTTCAGTCTAAAACAAACAAACAAGAGAATTCAGAGAGTGCAGCTGTCTCTGATGATTTTTCAATGATCGGTTTTATTTCTACATTTGAAAGCAACAAAGTGTGTCACGTTTAGTTATGAACAAGAGAAAAACAGGACCATACAACACTGGGCATTTGGGAATGTTTACAGTCACATGTTTAATCCTCTCACTGTAATCTGATTACATTTCTTCTTCAGATGTCAACACATTAGAGATTGAATGATGTCATTGATGTCAAACAACATTTTAAAGGTTCAGAGCTTTGACAGATGTTGGTGCTCCATCAGTAAACAGCCTGTGTCTGCACTTTCTGTCAGGCTGCTGCTGAATAATTTAATTTCAATCTAAAAGTTGGTCAGTGCGTCAGGAGCTTGAAAAGACAAGAAAATCAGATGGACTTCTTTAAGTTTGATGAAGAGGTTTCAGCTGAGAAGCTTCTTCAGTTCTAAGACCTAGCCCCACCCTATCATGTGACTCACTAAGGTCAAGAGGCCCAGGATGTGAGTGGGCGTTCAGGCATCTGGGAAGGATCTCAAAATTGGATTATAGATGGCAGACAGTTGGTGTGATAAGCCCCGCCCTCTGTTCAAAGATGGTCGCTCACAGTGGACATAGAAGCTTCTTTCACTCCTCTTTCAAACCATCTGTCCTCTCTGTCCAAAATGTGAACATTGGCATCCTGGAAAGAGTGACCTTTGACCTTTAGATGCAGATGGACAGCTGAGTCTTGTCCCGTGGAGGTGGCTCTTCTATGTTGTGCCATGCGTTTATGAAGTAGCTGTTTGGTCTCTCTAATGTAGAGGTCTGGGCATTCGTCACTACACTGTACAGTATACACTACGTTGTTAAGTTTGTGTCTGAGTGTGTTGCTGGGTCTGAAGTACACTGGGATGGATCAAGGACACGTATAAAACACAACTTTTGCACAAACTTGTAAACACCAACTCATCTTAAATTCTCTAATATTATCAACAAGGTGATATATACCAGTTTTTAAATTGTGTTGATAGGCCACGTAAAACCAGACTCATGATAAACAATATATACGCGTGTTTTTTCCTCAATAGTTTCTTCACATTTACTGTCTAAGGACAGCGCAGCAAGCACTCTCTGCTTATGAGCAAACCCCCCCCCAAAACAAAAACCAAAACAGGGGAAGTTTTAGGAGTGACAGCGTGAGAGAGAAAGAGAGAGAGAGAGAGAGAGAGTTTTGAAATGTGAGAGATTTGTGACGTTTAGCGTGTTTGGAGTGTGTAGTTAGTGTGTTGTCTTGTGTAGTTAGTGTGTAGTGTTGTGGATAGTTTTGTGTTGTGTGTCAGAACAATGAGGCGACTGCTGTCTCCAGGTAGAAACAGGAGTGATACACCTGCTGCTGTCAGACCTGCAGGTATCAGGCTGTGATCTTCTCCTTTATAGTGGACAAAAATTATTTTTTTGGAGTGGCACAAATAATTTGCGTGGCATCTTACTGAAGAACAGCTGATTGTTCTGTAAACAGTTTGAAATGGTTATTTAAAAAAAGGTAAAAGGTAAATGGCTGCAAATAACTTTGTTTGGAAAACTTGTGCATACACTGAAAAAAGTCTAACATGTAGTCATTCATTCAATCTAATAAGTGCCATTCAAAACAGAATAAAATCATTGATTTGATTGTGAAACCCTTTCTTTTTGCATTTTAAAATACCACTTTTGATTTGGATGAAACTAAATATCTGTACAAAGGACACAACGCAAAGTTTTTGATTTCTCTCAAAACATATATTTCTTTTCATGTTGAACAGATAATATCTTTAATTTGAGTCAAAGTGATTTGCACTTGAACACGCCCACCAGAAATAGACCGGGACCCATTTTTATTCTGCATGGCTGCTGGAAACATCGTGTCACATCTTTGATTAATTTCATCTGAAAATAAACGTAAGTAAAGCCAAGTGTGTTACAAAAGCTTTTATAATTTGTATTGCCAAAATTGCAGAAAATAACCCCATTTAAGCTGGGTCGACAGCCACCCCCAATTTTTGCATGTGGCTGTCACTGTCACCAAAGTGCTTGCTCATAGGGGGTCATATGACTGTTATTATTGTGGTGTTGAGGACTTGATAAAAGAATAACATGGTATGTCCATATCTGTTCTGTCTCTACATGAGATGCAGTCTCTTGATGTAAATTTGACAACTCTGCTATTAAATGCAGTGATTAATGTAGGACAGCAACGATTAATCAACTCATCAAGTTAATATCTTAGGGTTCTGTATTGTTTTTTTTTTCTTGGGCTTTGTGGAACATTTATGAAAATGTTCCACCATTGATTTAATTTAATGATTATGCAATTCACAATCTGATTAGTCAAATAATTGTTCTAATAGTCTGTGACCAAACAACTATCAAAATAGTAGTTTATTATGGTCAAAGATTTATCAGGTGTGCCAGACTTCAGTTCTTCACTTGTACATTTTGTTCCATATTTTACCTCAAGATATCCCAGAAAGATGAAGCTGAGGAAGAGCTGCAGAGTACCACCATGGCACTCTTCGTCTTCAGGGACAACTCAAGCCTCCTACATCAGCCTCGAGACATCGGGATAATCATTGATGGTGTGGAAGTCCTGAATGAGTTGCCTTCTGTGGCAGCTGGAGTGGCAATGGTCTTTGGACTCTGTTATGCTCTTAATATGGAATATCCACGAGGATTCAGGTTCACCTTTGAGGCTCTTCAAAAGATTATGATGGAGCTTGACTTTAACAAGATGGCCTCTAAGATTCGCAAACTTAATTGTGAACTTAACACTGCACAGTAGTGTGTTTGCATGCATGTGTGCATGTGTATGTGTGCTTGGTTATTTTGCTTGGTTGGCCTGCAGTGGTATTCTACATTCAAAATTTATAAGAACACCCATTTGAAAGGGAGATTTAAGTTGATTTCATTGATACATGTGTAGATTTTTTTTTTTTACATTGTACAGGCACAGTGCACATATAAACATTTTTGAGTACTTGCAAATTGGTTTAAAAAGAGTTTTTATAATGGTTTTATGCCAGTTTTAGACAGGTTGCAGGTTTTATGCAGGTTTTATACTGGTTTTCAAAAGATTGCAGGTTTTATAAAACAAACATTTCTCTAATCATTTCTGCCGTAGCACTAAATCTGTATATTACTAATCCTCTCTATTGATTATAGTTAAAATGGTTTGGAACAATAAATAATTTTGAAATAATTGGTTGGCCAACTGTCTTGTTTTTTATAGGAAATGCAGAGCATTTTTGAACTGAAATAAAATGAAATGTAAAAAATATAGTTTGAATATATGTAAATCAATTACCTGGCTTCAACACAAACATATTAGTTCATGTTAATTTGGTTCGATGTGAATACATTAGGTTGGTTAAATTTCAATATATTAGCTTGGTTCAATAATTAAAATATGGTTCTATGTAAAAAAATCAATTTGGATCAATGCAAAATTTAAAGTTTCAGTCAAGTCTAGTAATATTGTTTATATCAACATAAAAGTATCAGGTCATATCAAGTGACTCAATTTGGATTCTATGAAGTCAAATATTTTGGATGTGACAATTGGACATCATTTTTTTAAATTTGAATAGGGTTATTCTTTTTACAGTGTATGATTTTAAAATTGACAATTTATATTTGCATTTAAAGTTATGAAATATGATTCATCGTGGTTGTTACAGTAACAAATACTTTTATATACTTTATACTTTTTCTACTCGGATTGTATGTTTTTTGTCTGATTTTTGATCAATTGTGTTAATACAGTATGTCAAAATGAAAACTTAAAATTAAGTGTATATGTAAAATTAAAAGTAGTCAAAAACAGCCAATTATACCCTGGACCCCAGAGGGTTAAACTTTTTTTTAAGTAACGCAATAGTTACAAGATTCTAAAAGTCATTAATTACTAGGAAAAGTAACTCAGCTACTAACTCAGTTACATTTTTGATGAAGTAACTAGTAACTATAATTAATTACTTTTTCAAAGTAACTTGCCCAACACTGGTAATAACTAATAATGATTAATATAATAATAACTTTAATATTGGCCATATTACATTTACATTACCAGTGAAGTGACTTTAGTGTCATGAACAACATTAGCTAATTGTTATGTATTAGCTAATTGTAAAACAACTGTTCAGTACAGAAATGAAGCCCAACAATCATGTTTTTACAGTCCTGTGGTTTCAGCCTCAGATACTTATCAAATCAAACAGAGCTCATGTAAAACAAACAGATGAACAAAAGAAATTTGTCCTTCATTTCTGTCAAACAATGCCAGATGAAATGTTTCCAGCAGTTATTATCATGGTTGCTAGGCAACATGAGCAGTGCAATGGAAGCTAGACCATCCTATTTCACAAGCATCGCACTTCCGGCCTTCTCGGTCTACAGTGAAGGCCTTATCCTCCAAAGGATGCAAACCCTGAATTGGGAAAAAGCCTATGTGTTAATAGTCCTCTCTGCATTGAATCGTATCTGTTATTAATCTCTGTCTCTCATCCACAGCATGTCTTTATCCTGTCTTCCTTCTCTCACCCTCCCTGAGCCTGGTTCTGTCGGAGGTTTCTTCCTGTTAAAAGGGAGTTTTTCCTTCCCACTGTCACCAAAGTGCTTGCTCATAGGGGGTCATATGACTGTTATTATTGTAGGATCTACCTTGAGGCGTTGCTGTGATTTGGCGCTGTATAAATAGAACTACAGTGAACATGTTTGACTCTCCTGCTTTGAAGCAGCTGCTCCTGATTGATCAATGCAAACAATGCACTGATTGATTTAAGGAGGAGCAGCGTGCAGTGGTTCTGCAGTTACACACAGCAGGTTTGTTTGCACACTAAACAACACACACACCGTGGCGGTGTGTGTGTGTGTGTGTGTGTGTGTGAGTGTGAGAGCGCGCACTCACCGACACCACCACGGTGTCCTCTCCGTTAAATTTCGGGATGTTTTTGTCTCCGCGGTTCCGCTCCGCCTCGTTCAGCGGCCTGAAGCGACACATCACCTTCACCCCGCACACGCCACCCTCCGCCGCCTCCATCACCGACAAGAAGCACCGACACGCACGCGGAAACACACACAATCCGGGAGGCTCGGCTCTGGTTCGGGTCCACACGGTCCGCTCAGAGGCTGCGATCTCCGGTTACTGCTTCTCCATCAGGAGGCTGAAGGCTCCACCTCTCACAGGTCCACCCTGGACCACCGAGCCGCAAAGAACCATGGGACATGAAGTCCTCCTTCACATCCAGCGTGAACATGATTTAGTTCGGGTTAAAGCCAATGGGTCATATTTGACTCATGACGTTTTAGGCTCTTTAAGACTTCATCGACTTTTTCCCTGAAAAACAAAATTGATACAAAATAAAACTCATATAAACATTTATACTTTTTTTTTTTATTCGTCAGAAGGGTTTTTAAAATAAGTGAATAGAACAAAGTTTATTAATTTAGAAATAAATGTGTGATAAGGTGGAACAGTGGTTAGCACTGCTGCCTCATAAGAGGAACAGGATGGCGGTTTGGCCCCCACCTGGGCGGGGCCTTTGTTGTGGAGTGTGCAGGTTCTCTCCAGGTGCTTCTCCCACAGTTGTGTAACAGGTGTAGTTAGTGGGGTGATTCTAAATTAGCCATAGGTGTGAATATGCGTGCAAATGGTTGTCTCTTTCTCTCCCTCTCTCTGTGTGACCCTGTGACAGACCGTACCCGCCTCTTGCCCTATGGAAGCTGGGCTAGCCTCCAGTTCCCGCCCCCGAGACCCTGACGAGGACAAGCAGAAGAGGATTGGTGGATTTTCAGAAGGCTTGAGAAACATTCCCGTTTCAAAAATCAGAATTTTCTGACAACTTCATGATTAGAATAAATAATTAACCCGATAAATCAGAGTATGCTCAGGGTCATTGATGATCTGATCTCTAGAAGTATTCGGTTACGCTCCTGGAGTAACGGTATTAACACCACTGTGTAGAAATACTCAATTAGGACAGTTTTTTTACTTTCTAACCATAAATTCAGTATGACACACCCCTGTATCAGCTGTTTTCTGTTTAAAATGGAATAAAGATTACATTATATTTAAGTAGGCAGACCTACCCAGCACATGTTGTTAGTAACATCTGGATGGATGGGTGGACATTTTATTAGAACATATTAAATTTCACAGTAAATTAGTTTTGAGTCCCCAGAAAGGCGTCAATACTCGGTATGCTAAATATGCCGGCAGAATGAGGGTTAACATATATCAACATATAAATTTTAATTCAAATTTAATTTAGTTGGCAAATATCTGAAAACAGAAGAAACATGTGTGCCTGTGATCAGTATATCCACTGATCTACGTTCCACTCGTCATTCGTCTCCAGTTCATCCTCTGACTGAAGGAGGTCAAGCTACATCGCCCACGCTACGCATCAAAACACCTCTAACCTGAGCGTGCTCGGAGATTGAACATGATGTTCCCGTCGTCACCTCGATTACTACTGAGTGATGATCTCAGACTGCTTCAAAACATAAACAATCAGACGAGGTTGGACGACTGATGACCAACCAGAGGACATGACGATTTTCATAAACAGATCAAACTCTCTTACATCACAGACCGTACAACAACAGCATCAATAATAATAATGATAATAATAATGATGACCACACAGTTAAATGTTCTGGTTTCTTCTTCTGCAGCAGAACATGATTCACTGTTAGGTTTGTGGGATAAACAGGATACAGTGAAGAAATTCACTTCCGAGCCTTTTTCACACCTTGGCTCATGTGATGAGGCACATGGTCAGCAGTGGGTCAAAAAGGTACAACTCCCACTATGGGTTAAATACCTGCGACGCTCCACCATCTGGTTTTAGAACTGAAGAAGCTTCAGTCTGTGAAACATCTTCAGGAATCAGAAATACATCCAGTCGTTTCCTTAGATCACCTTGACCTGGAGGACTGAGAACCTACAGACACAATTCCTCCTCTTTGATCAAACCCCACAGGCAGTCAGGCTGCTGCCATCACCACTGCTTTCATTTTGAGGTTTACCAGCAGGGGGCAGTGTTTCACACAGCACGCTGCTGCTCTAAAAAGCATTTGAATCACAGTGCAGCTGTTCCTTTATTGCCATTGGCTCAGCACAGGACTTGCAGCACACACACTTCCTGGTTCAACCTTCCAGTCTCAGGACCAGGACCACACTAACACCAGGTATCAAACCCCCAACTCTTCACACGTGAACCCCTGAGCCAATAAAAGACAAAGCAGTAATCTCAAAAAGTGGATTCTGTTCATCTGGACCTTTCATCATCAGCCAGGTAACAGCTTCAGTCTCAGCTGACTGCAGGTTTCCCACCTTATAAACATGACATTTGGATGATGACTAACACTAGCACCACTGAACAATGGGCTGGGAGGTTAGTTCCTTGAGCTCTTCCGTGTTGTGCCATCCGTTTAGTCAGAGGTTGTTTGGTTTCTGTGATTTTGTTAATAAGGTTGGAAACCTGTAGTCATCTGATGTAAAGTTTCTCCCACTGAAAACATCCAGATGAACACGTCTGCCCAGATGTTTGCAGCTGTTTGTCCTGGACACAGTACTGCACTTTACGGTTGCTCTCTTCTTTTGTGCAATAAAAATAAAGGTCACATCCATATCTATCGATCGCTGTAGACCGCTCCACCATTCTCGTCCTTCCACACACCAACTGAAATCAGATGATTGTAGCAGGAAGAAAAAAAAAAAAACCTGTTTGTTTCCTTTCTATCTGCAAAGAACTGAAGAGCCTTTGTAGCACACAAACAACAGAACAAACAACAAATTACTGAATTTAGAGTAATTCAGTAATTTTGAGTACAGTAAAGCATTACTTTGTTGATGCAGACTTTAAAGTTAACTGAAGTTTGTAGAGCGACTTCACTCTCAGGTGTGTTTGATCCGTCAGGCGTGCAGCTACAGTAACGGCACCTGTGAACTGATGACATCACTCACAGCAGTGATGTCAGAGTGTGATAGTGCCATCAGCTCCATCAGTCCCTGCTGCTCTGTCTGCAGGTGTTTGATCCTCATATACCTGCTGTCAGCACATCTGTCCATGCTTCTGACTCCGCCTCCTTCCTAACCATGCTTAGAGCTGATTGAGAAAGTCTGGATTACCCGATTGAGTTCAGAACAATGATCACGTGACCTGAGCCTGATGTCGGGATATTTGAAACCAATCAGGAAACCCGATCCTCGATTTGCACAGGGACCTGAACGCAACATGTTCTCATCTGAACAGATTCAGCAGTCAGAAAACAGACGCTCTGAATGCAGCACAGGTTTAGTGATGTGTTCGCTGACATCATCGGCATCATCTGAGGTTAAAACAGTCCTGCTGACCTTTGACCTCCAGCTGCTCAGCTTAAGGTGACACCCAAAGAGTTCAGCTGCTAAATAACCAACCAATCAAAGCCTGTCCTGATGATCAAATGACTTCCTGTTTCTCTAAGAGACTCCTAAGTCTGACCCCGCCTACTCAGATGGCATCACACAGAAGCATGGTCTCCACAGCATGCACGTCTTATGAAGAACTCAGGATCAGTAAACAATGCTGAGGTCAGAGGTCAGCTTACATGTCTCTCTCTCACACACTCACACAGGAAATTAGTGTTTGAAAATAAAAAACACGGCTCTGTTTGTGTTCCTGTAAAACCGATTGATGTTTTTATTCTCCGATAATCAATACATCTGATCACATGATTGTTTCCTGATGTCCTCACCTGACTCTGACTCAGTGAGACCACATGTAGCAGCTTTACTAGAACTGAGTTTGACCCCGAGACGAACCAGAAGGTCAGACCGACCTCTTGGCGGCGAGGACTGAGAGACTAGGTCATCGGAGGTGAAAAGGTTCATGGCGGACGCGATTGTCAGCTCCAGGAGGTGAAAAAAGGAATAAAGTTTGTCTCTGTTCCTGATCAGACTTCCTGCTGATGACCCAATCAGCTGTGCTTACCTGCACGAGCCTGTACACCTGTAGCACAGTCACAGGCTTTGTTCTTTTATTCTGACATCTGTACTCTCCATCCTACATGAAGTCTTTTATTTTGGCGTCCCTGCCCTGCTCTGATTGATCATAAGCTTGACTCTTTGGGCGGGTAGTCCACGTTGGTCACCATGGTGACGACCATGACAATCTCCTCGTGGGCCGTGACGCTCGACTGCTGCATCTGCACGACGCGCTCCTCCACGCAGCCCGCTGACAGCCGCGCCTCCGCCTCATGATCCCAGCACTCCTCCATCGTCTCACAGAGGAGAGCCAGACCCTGCCGGGGGGGCAGAGAGGAGACCTGGATCAGAGGTCAAACATAGCACTTGTTTCTTTATAAACTACACCAGCGGTGAGGTCATCCTGATGCTTCAAACAAATGCATCGGCTGTGGGTAATGCGCTGGTGCATTGTGCGTAGTGACTCACGGCGTGCTTCTGCCAGCACTCTCTGATTGTGGGCCTGAGCTTCTTGTAGACGACCACCTCCTGCATGTCCTCCAGAGACGGATGCTGACCCGCCTCCTCCTCAAAGGGCAGCAGGTACTCATCTACTGGACCTGAACCACAGAAAACCAGGTGTGCGGATCAGTCAATGACAGTCTTCACTTTGCCCCACACACACACACACACACACAGCAGGTGAAGACGTAAACACAGGACGGCGGCGTTGGCCTCCACCGACCACAACGACATGTTCATGTCAGTTTCTTCACATGTCACATAACCATTCTTTGTAAGCAGGTCAAACTTTAACAACCAACCAGGCGTGACCCTGGCCAGGCCTAGGCCGGGGCTGTTGTTAAATTTTGACGTGCTGACCTGGTGAGTCAGGTGACCTTCTGGCATTTCATACCGTCAGCAGCTTTGCAGCGTGATGCGAGCTCCCACAGCACCAGCCCCACAGCGTACATGTCGATCCTCAGGAAGGAGTCTCTCTGGAAGTTGATGGCGCCCTCCAGGACCTCTGGGGCCATGTACCTCCTGGTCCCCACCTGACACAGACAGGAACCAGATCAGCTGTTTACTGAGGTGATGTGACACAACTACAAAGAGCAGAGGAGCTGGTGGAGGGGACATGGATAACATCACTGATATCAATAAAGTGTGAACTTGTTACGCAGCACTTATCTGAAGCCCCGCCCCCTCTGACCTCATGGCAGGTCCTCACACATATTTTAAACCTCTGTAATAACACAACAACATCTAAATGATGTCATTACTGTGGAGATCGAGCTGTGACCGGTAAACAAACACAGCTCATTTAGAGCCAACCTCAAAGCTGCTACTAATATGTAAACGCAGTGAGTTTATCACACCATCCGCTCTGCAGCTTCACCTCCTCAAAGCCTCTGATTGGCTGCTCTGCTCTCATTTCTCTCTTTGGTTCCCCACACTCTGGACACTGCTCCGTTCAGCTACGCCTCCCCTGCTGTGCACAGCTGCAATCAGGCCAGCTCAACATCCCAGCACTAATTATTCTTCTTTTATCAAACATCCTTGAATATTTACCCATCAGCCACCAGATGGAGCTATTTGCTTCTTCCTAACCCAGACTGTCCTCACCTGGACCTCAGTGTACCTGGAACTCCATCATGCATTTGCTAAACACTCTTAGATATTTCTGTTTCCACTGACTGTTACACTCTCACTGCTGTAATGACAAAGCGTGACAGAGGCGTAGCTCGGGTGGACACACCTGTCCATGAGCGTCACCTGGAGACTTTCCCGCCTCAAACCTGAGAGCGAGGCCAAAGTCGGCGATGCAGGCAGTCAGGTCGGACTTAAGCAGGACGTTCTTACTCTTGAAGTCCCTGAAAAACACAGAGCTGTCAGGCACCTTTGTGTGTGTGTGTGTGTGTGTGTGTGTGTGTGTGTGTGTGTGTGTGTGTCCGTACGCTCGTACCTGTGTGCGATGGCGGGTTTGTATGCAGGTATGTCTTCGTGCAGGTAGGCCAGGCCTCGAGACATAGACTGAGCGATCCGACACAGTTCAGACCAGGAGAGAACGTTGGCTTTAAGGTGGTCAGTCAAGGAACCCTGAGAACACGTCATGGAGAACACAGAGTGAAGACTGAGGGTCAGAGGTCAAATTTGTTCGAGTGACTCAGTCTTCTGTCCACACATTCACAAACTGAACCCGCTCCAACTCGTCTACGCTCCACGTTCTTCCAGGTTCTAATGGAGTTTTAGGAGTGTTCTGCAGTTCCACCTCCAGCCTGCGGGGGTCACTGTTACCTTGTGATGGTAGGCGGTGACAAGCCACAGCTCCGTTTCCAGCTCGCTGCCTCTCTTCTCAGCGCCGAGGAACTGCAGCAGGTTCTCGTGTCTCATCCCGCTCAGGCTAAAGATCTCAAACTCGTTCTGCCAAGACTGACGCTCCTGAGCACAGGTCAGAGGTCAGAGTAGTCAGGGGCGTGGCCCAACTGTGACCTCACACAGAGGTAATTTCTCAACATGTGCTCTTGTGAGACATCAATTCAAAGGGTTAGGTTGCATTTCATCTGAAAATATGTGTTATTGTAGAATCTACTTTACAATATGAAGCTCCTCGAAGCGACTGGTGTTGTAATTTGGTGCTGTGGAAATAAAACTGAACTGAAACTCAAAAGTGGCCGTGGTGGAGGAGCACGGCTAAAACTGTGAGAGAAGTTTGAAATGTGCCCGTTTCTGTGACACAAAGTAACTCTTAAGATGTTTCAGGCGAGAATGTAGATACGGAAATTTCCAAACATCACCTCCCTCTGGGCGAACGGCCAGTTTGCCTCGCCAGGTGTCACCTGACCAAAAGGTCGAGGCTTATTCTCCCTGACTCCTGCCACATCATTTTTAAATCTCCCCAGGCTTTGGCCACTCAGTGGAGGTTAAACATCATGTTTGGCTTATTTCAGTGTTTTAGAGAAAATCTGTTTGATCAAAACTGGATCGTTGTATTTAACTTTCACGTCTCACTGGAGCGCTGTCACTGCGTTTGGAAACGAATATTCCGCTCATCATTATTCCCTCACGCAGATGTGCTCATGTATATGGAGCAGAAACATCTGGCGCAGCTGCTCATGAAGACTTCACACAAAGGATCAGATAATGTTTTTAACATTTATTCTGTTTCTACGACAATAAACAAAATCATTCTCACATCTGACCCGTTTGTTGTTCTTGTTAAATGAGCAGTGCGAGCTGTGCGTACATGTTTGTGTTTCACTCATGTGACTGTTGGTGCTCAGCTGTATGAAGGTCATCAGTGTCTGGATGTTAGAAGAGCCGTGAAGACCAACGCTCTGATGCTCCTCTCACAGCCAAGCGTTTTGCCAAAGTGCTTGTAAGCACTTGTGTAGTAAATGGGCTACTTGTATTAACAATATCACACCAAGATTAACGGCACACACACTGACCTGGGCAGGGAAGATCTTGACGGCGACGTGTTCACTGAGCAGCTGAGCCTTCCACACGCAGCCAAAGCGCCCCCTGGCTTTCAGCTCCAGCAACTGCAGAGGCTTCTGTCCCAGGACGGGGGAGGGGGGCAGGGGGCCGGTCTCCTGGGGGAGACAGGTGGAGATCAGAGACAGAGGATACAGGAAAATAAAGAACA